CGTATCATTTGCATGCGAGTTCCAACATGAAATGAGGAAAACTTGGAACAACGTAAAATATTAACAGACGAGAAGCAAGAAGCGCTGAAAGGCAAACCATGGCACCGGCACTCACTGTTTATTTTATCTCTATAGTTTCCAACTCGCGTCTTTTTGACATTTCAAAAACATTTGCTCAAATCCTGCTTCAAAACTCGCATTTTCAACTCGAAAAAAATATTTTAATACCCTTGTAACAGAAAAATGCAGACTAAAGGAGACATATGTTCATTGCAATTCAACCATTCGACAACTTGATATAGAAGCAAAAAAATACGGTGGAAAATTAATCTGCAAGTGTTCAGTATTCACTCTATCAGCATTTGGGAGCTGAAAATATCACAACGGTAATTACAAGTGTAATAAAGAATCTGCGAATTTTCCGTAAGTAAATATGAAAACCCCCCAACCTCCCACCTCCAAACTCCAAAATAGTCCCCATTAATTTTCAAAAAGTATGATCTTGGTCCAGACAACACCATTGGTTTATTTAAATCTTATCTTCATCTATTGCGCACGTCACTCTAAATATAAAACCCTAATTATAAGTAGTAATAAAATTCTATATTGAAACAAGGTTACCTTACAATAAACATTTACACTCTAAAACAAATTTTATTGGACTAAACTCTCAACACTTTTTACAACAATACATACTATTGCCACATTTTCAGATGTTAAATTCAATCAACTAAGTTTCCAATTAATTTCAACAAAATACTACTTGCACCTAATTCATGGAAGATCATGACGTCTTCAAAATCCTCTCTATAAGTGGCGAGTTGTTGCAGGTGAGAAAAACTAAACGTGCATCAGCCTGTTCTTCAATAAATAATTCCCTTCGCCATTATGGCCTCCTTAGTACTGATTCCCGTAGAAAGTGCCTATTCTGTAACCTTATTTTCCAATTTCGTCGCCGCATGTCACCGGAACTTTGTGCGCATTCCAAAGACTGAGCGCTACGAACGACTCGTGGAGCCATTAGCGGACAGCGAGGGCACTGCAATCCTGACGGACAGCTGCGAGGTCGGGCGCGATGGCAGAGGCAGCGTGCGATACAAGACTGTCGCACCCCAATGCCTTGAATACACAATTTGCGTTTTCGTCGTTTTTATCCCAAAAAGGTAGACTTTTTCTCTTGCAATACTAAGAAATATCCTCAGCGCTTCCCCTCACTTCAAATGCGACCTTCCGGGTGTTATTGAAAAAGCAATCGTCAAGAAGCTGGCGTGTAGAAACGAAGTTTCTCAGCAAAATGATAACAATGGCGTACTAGGGAGAGGGGCAGGGACTCACGGAGCTTCAGCCTCCCTCAGAAGCCCATGATACATATTTACAGATAGGGGTTTAAATCATTTCCTACAATAACGAAGGTCATTCACCCAAACCGAATGCGCTATAAATTGAAATCCTCCCCCACTCTTCCGGCAAAAATGGCATGGGTGATTAGAAATGAACAGAAACTCAAAATTCTTGTAAAATGAAATTGGTAATTGGATATTTTGTGCATTAATCTCAAAGGTCTAAAGCCTTTCAACGTGTTAATAAACATTAAGCAATGTTAGAACTTTTACCCGCGAACAATACCAGATCTATAATGTCATTGGAAATACACAGATCACTGGCATTCCAAAGTTGGATTCCAGAAAGGAGTGAGTTTCTATTTGAAAATAAATATTTAGAAAGTGGGGAATGTTCATACAGATCCAACTTATTGTTATAAATGAAAGGCTTAGGCAATATCCAGTCAGGTACCTCCACACAAAAACGTGACAGTTTATAGCGTAGAAACCTGTTGTAGTGTGCTTTCTAATTGTTAAAGAGGGCAAATTTTTGTACACTAGAGATTCATATAATTTTTAAAAAAGTAAAAATGATCATCAATATAACTAAAAGTGGAGTATGTATCTGTAATTACAAAATAGCTGCCATTCTGTTATCACAAATGCTCATTTAGCTGATAAAAACTTAATAGTTTTTACAATTTTTCTCAGACTGGCTGGCTTTGAATGACTCGGAAAAAAGTAAACCAATTTTGATATGGTTTAATTGGAAGGTAGAGGACTTTTAATGAGCAAAATTTAGGCTTTTTCCAAAATACCATTTTCTCTTAAATAAAGAATATATTTGTAAATGTATAATTTTATTCTGATCTTACAGAAACTGAGTACACAATATCTTCAAAACAAGAGAAAAGTTACGGTCTGCAAGATATTTCATAAAATTTATCTCTATTAGCTTTCCCTATCCTGAGCGCCAAATACAAGTGTGCGCCCTTTTATTTTTTCGTGAATATTTCAAAAAAGTTTCAAAATTCATCAAAGTAGATTAAACGAATCTTGAAGCCCATAATTTCCAACTAAAGGGTTTGTAATTCATTCCAAAAGCACTGGTATGCTTTGAGTAAATGCAGGTTGAAATTGTTACAAGAACTTTGATGCAACAATGCATCTGTTTATCGCTGCCCAGGGCAACAATGATGATTGAAATAGTGATCACAGCAAGTATAGAGGGTGGGCAGGGATGGGGCCACGCAAGACAGGACACCCCGAAGACTGTGGGAATGTGTAAGGTGGGTCTGGACAGTGCACTGCACTGTAGCGCAGGGCAGGACAAGGCATGCTGATACACTATACTTTGAATTCAGTTCTTGTCCTGCTAATAGATGATTGTTATAAATGAATATTCGAGCAATATAAAGTACTGCTAGTATACTCATATAATGTAGTTTGTTACACACACACACGTGGACAAATACCAAAGGCAAGAAAGTGAAAAACATAATTCAACAATAAAAGAAAAGTGAATGGGTTTGATAATAATATATTGAAGAATCAAGTAATATAAATAGGCATTTCTAATTTTTTGAATCTTTGTGTATCCTTCTTGAAGATATTGTTAGCTCTTGTAGTGTAATATTCTCAAGTTGTCCCATCAAAAGAGAAATGAAAAATAGAAAAGGAAATTGAACCCACATATTTACTGACATTTTCAATACTAAAATAATAATATATATAAAATTAACTTCAATTAACGACTGGATTATCATCACACCAAATTCAGGAATGCATATTCCTAAAACTTGAGCAACCTAAAAGACAGAAAGGATTAAACATGGAACATTTCTAAAATATACATTACTTATTTCCAAAGTGTGCACAAATTGAAAGAAACCTATGTAGCCTCCAACAATCTGAGAGGTGTCTATGGTTTCATTAGATACCCAGCAAGTCAGGAAAAATTTAAAAACAATAAAAGTTTCTATTTTAACTGAAAAATGTGAATTTTTGATTATGTTATTCCCCTATTCCTATGTTCTTATATTGCATTTACATTCTTATATTTACATTTGACACCACAGGCCAGTAATTCAGTTATAAAGAATCTCTAAAATGATATTACTAAAGCAAACATTCATTTTTAAGAGTTTTAAAAAGAAAACCTTACTTTCTTTTAGGTTTTGTGATATTATTGACATATAATCTCATTTAGGCTTGAAAATTATCTGATTTCCATTAATAATTCCACAATGATTACTTACATTCACCTTGACATGTAGATGCATAAATTCTAGTCATACAAGTACATTCATACATTGCAACACCAGCTCTTTTTTGTAATTTAATGAGATGTAATTGACAGAAGGTTCATTGTCTGTATATACAAATAAGAATTAAAAAAATGAATTCCACTGATACAAACTAGTGGCCTTCAACACTTCTACAAAAGGTTTCATGAAGTCTTCTCTAACGATCACTTGGATACAGTACATTGAATAAATAAAATTCTAACAGAAGTTAAACTTTTGCTGTGGATATCCAAACAAAATAGAAAATGTTTCACACATCATGTGTCAAGCAACACCTGTTGTATTGTTTTCTTTGTATACAGAAACATGATCACGTAATGTGAAAGTATTTTGCAATTCTTTGGCTTTAATTTTTTTTGGCAAATTTGGCAATTTTCAAGAGGTTTTAATACAAAAAGCAAGCAAGAGTCAGTAGGATTTACATTCTCCCTAGGTAATGAGTCCCTGTAACTCGATCGTCATAAATTTAACGGTATAATCAAAAAGATTGTTAATAAAATACTACATAAAATGATATGCATCCTTCAGTATTGACAGTGTAGCACAAATCTAGTATTGTAGATACTTTAAAACATTTCTATATGCATTTTGTGTTATGAAGTTTTAATTGCCTAGTAATGATATGCTTTAAAAAGTATATTGCAAGGAAATCAAGCCAATCAGTTATTGCTTCCTGAAGTAACATACGCAATGAAGTTATTTCATTCGCTAGGTAAAGGAATAAAACTAGGTTTCATAAGATCAATTTTCAAGAGGTTTGGGACATAAATTCCTAGGGAGTGAAATTATTGACTTGTTACACTGTTAGAAATATCTGATAAAAATATACGTTTCTCGAGTACTATCTTATCGTGAGTTGAGAGTGGAAACTTGTGGTATCGTAGGTATGGATCTTGGGGGCGGCAAGAAGGGCAGGTGGCCATTTCACGTTCGTCTGGAGCGAGGGGACGTAGTCCATGCGCGCCAATCGACAACCCGCCCGACCCCCCACCCACGCAACCAGGCGGCGGCGCCGGCCCACTCGACCGCGCCGCGCAGGGGATCGATGTGCAACGCCCCGCCCCGCCACGCCACACCGAGGCCGCAGCATCGCAGGCTGCGCACCGCGTGTTCGCCCGGCCCGCCCCGTCCTATCCCCACTGCCCCGCCTCGTCGGAACCGGCCCAGGAATGTGGCGGGGGCGTACAGCAGGCAACGTCGCACCGGCCGTCGCCGCCGCCGCCACCCCCCCTGCGCTGGGCGAAGCAGGAGGTCGCTCGTCGGCGCGGGACGGCAACAGCGCGGTCCCGCCCGGTGCCCGGGCAGCCGGCCTGCCAGGCGGCGGCGGCGCAGCCCGTCTGACCAAGTCGAATGGCAAGGGCCAAAGACTTACCCCGGGATACGCCTTCATACGATGCAGCGCGTACTTCAGCAAGTTGCACAGCTGGTCCAGACTGAGTTGTCGCATGGCCCGAGACCTGTGCAAAGAAAAAGAGTCCCATGGTACACTCAACTTTCATTCCACACATTTCTTCCATTTCCACTGAAAACTGATAAAATGTACCACAAAATTGATAAATTAACTATTTCTTGTCTTGGAATCAAGGTTTACAATCAATTTTAACTGAAGTAATTTACGATACAGGCACAAAAGTTAGATGTGTCTATTTTATTAAGTATTTCTAAACGAACAAAAATAATAAAAATATCAGTTGTAATAAAATGATTAGAATTAGTATCGCAATTAATTGATAATAATTTAAATTAGTATATTTTATAGTACAATATCGTATTTTACTAATATTTAAAAGCAGAAAAATAACAACAGTAAGATATTAAAGTTAGTAAAAACACACATTTTTTGAGAGTTGTAATGTATACCTGAAAATATGGATAGGTGAAATGTTATTTCAAATCTTATGTATTCACATTTTTTTAACTTCAATTTTTGTTAACAATTAACAATTTTACCAAAATGCCTTGGTAGACACATAGTTCTTTATGTTTGTCATAACTATTCGAATCTTAGATGTGACAATTGTTTTTCAAAAATTATGTCATGAAAAGCACTCGCATTGTATTCAACAGAATATTAATACTTAAAAGAATTTAACTGAGTTTTCTTTCCATTTCGGCAAAGAAACTAATATCTAAGTAGAAAGGAATATAGTAATGACAAAATCACAACACCAATTAATTAATCTCATCAAAGGGTCACCTATGTCATGAAAATGTTATAGAGTAGAATGTTTTATCTGTTGGTATCTTATTTCCATAACTTCTGGTTACCTCCGATATTCTTATTTTCATACAATATATATAAACAAGAATATTAAAAAAATGGAAGGACAATATGTTCTTAATATTTAAAATTTGTATCTGTGAAGCTTCTAAGATTTTTCTGCTCAAGGACCTGAAGTCTTGTATATTTGTTTATTCAGTCATAAAAACACTCACATACAAAACCAATCATGATTGATGAATGATCCTAGGCTATGGGGGATTGGTGCAATGCCAATTTGCAAAGGAAACGGCTCACCAAGGGGTGGGGATGGGCAGGGATGCTGCAATTATTGATCCTCTCTGGAGCCATGGTGGAAGGGGAAAGTCAGACTGGCCCTACTCCCCACCACCAACCATTATGCAGTGTTAGCTTCATACAAGAATGACCCATACACATCACTCTTCCCAAAACACAAACAATTTACTCTTTCAGAGATTAATGTTACACACCACTAATATATTCAAACTTATTTTTCTCTCCAGATCCAAAATTTAGGTTTTTATCCAAAAACAAAAAAACAACTGGTCTCCCATTAAAGTATTACTTTGCAAAAATCATGAACAAAATGAGCATAAAAAATTGAATCCAATAATGTGTTCAACGTATGTTGTATTGTTTTTTGACAGTATCAGTGAAGTGTCTAATGTTCTATTTTGTTTTTCTTTCTAAAATAAATCTCATAATATTCAATGGAAAAGTAAATGCAGAGGTAATACACAAGGTTTTTCACAAACTTTCCAAAAATTACAAACGAAGATTTTAATCAAAAGCTTAACTTTAACAGAGACTATAATCTTCATCAGAAAAAAAAAGAAAAGAAAATTCTCTCTATTGCAGGAACATTTATGGTGAAAAATTAGTTGTTCAGTTAATATATTACAATCATTTATTTCATTTACTGTAATTTTCTATTTTTAATTCATAACTTTTTTCTCCTGTCATTGTCATATTTTTATAAGCAAAATGTTTCCACATTTCCCATTCACTTATACATCAATTCAAGAGAAAACAACCAATCATTGCAATGTTCCTAAACAATTATTATCATATGATTATCGAATAACAGAACACAAAACATTTTTAATTTGAAAAATATGAAATATTACAAACAAGACATTTTGTTGAACAGTTGAAGAGAAATGGCAATGATCAAGCAAACATTGTGACCTACTTTCCATCCTTTCTGAGAAGAATACACAGTGTAATGTAAGAGAAAGTTATATGGTGAACTAGGTTCTACATATGTTTGTCATGAATATCTTTGTAAAACTTTTCATTGAAAAAACATCAAAAACATGATTTTGGAGTCAACTCTAGTTGAAGTTAATATAAGAATAAAAAATAATAACAATAATAATGAGAACAACAATAATGATAAATTTCACAAGCCTTCAGATAAGAAAAGCCTGGTTTCAGAGAATTTACAATAATAATTAACATTTTTTTATTAAATATTGTTCAACAAATAAAAAACTTCAAAGAAGTGAAATCTCAGCCATTACAAAAAACTACAAATATTGAAAAAATTATAACGAATGGTAAATATACACAATTAATCTGGTGTATTATGTTCCTTTGTAGTACAAGAATTATAGTCATGTTATACAGCAGCATATGCAAAACCTACATGTCAATAATGATGCAATGCCTATAATGATTTAGATCAGACATCTTAATAAATAAAACTAAATATTCTAATTTTCTTCATACAATATTTACTTATATTTTTTTTCTTGTCTCGATCACAAAACAAATAAAACAGACAGGTAGTACAGATGTTTGGAATTACACTACAACAATATTTTAAAAGATTGCAAAAGCTCTCAAATATAAAATTATAATAACAAAAAAAATTAAATTTGACCTGCACCAGTATAAATTTTGATGCAAAATAGAATAAGTGGCATCCTTCACTCAAACTCATTATAAACTGTAGGAATTGAGGGGCGAGGGGTGAATATCTAACTATGATATGTTCCTAACTAAATATGAAATGTTCCTTCAAAATAATGTAATTACCTACCAAAGATGTGAAAATATGTTAATTTTTAAAAAGAGTTTTTATTATAATTGGTCTCATCCTCATAAATTGATTTTGCCATTTACCTTTCAACTTGCTCATTCTAACCTCAAATTATTGCTTACACAAAACCATAATAAAATGATATACTGCGAGAAATATTAACAGAAAACCCTTAAAATAGTATATAGCAAAGCCAAAATAAAAGGTGTAACCTAATGCATGTACCCACCTTGTTTCCACATTCTCTGCATTCAGAATAGTCATACATTCTGGACAGACCCATTCCTCAGAAGGAGAATTTTCCAATTGTACACATCGCATGTGATAAACTCTGGGACATGTTGCACAACAAATAACTATTCCATCTCTGTGGCAAATCCAACAAAATCGATCTAGATCCTATAAATAAATGTCAAATATTCACCAACATTATTTAAATGCAACACATTATGTAACTCAATATAGTTCTCTGGCAAGCACAAAACACACAGATCACTTAAATTTTATATTCAAATAATATTGTCTTAATTCCAATGTGAAAAGTCTTGCAAGGCTTCAATGCAATTAATTTTCAGAGTTAAAAAAATTTAAAAAATCCCAATAAAATCATTTTCACATAAAAGAGATAAATTTACACACCAAAATCTTAAAATTTGACACTTGTTTTGCATTTTCTATTAGCTGTTGTCCACCTGGTTGGTTGGGTTCCACACCCATTTTCCCATTGAGTTTTTTTGTCTCCCCTTCTGACAATACTCTGACCCCACGAGCAGCCCTATACACAATATTGTGTTTTTTTTTAAAACGGTCAATCCATCCGTTTGAGGCAGTGAAGTCTGTAATTCCTAATTTCTTTGCAACATTTAAGGCCTTCTTCCTTAAAATCACACCATTTATAGGGACATTTGATTTCTGAGCATGAATAGTCCATTTTATAAGTGTGTCTTCTAATTCTTTAAATCTGGGCAATCTCACATATTTCCTTTCAATCATGTCTTGTTCAACTTGAAATGAATTATCCTCAGTATCTGCACGGTTCTTAATCATGGTGTTAGGGGATGTCACAAGGATACTGTCTACAATTATAATTCGTTTGCCACTTTAATAAATTGTTTTGGCGTCGAGGCCGTAACTTTATTCCAGAAATATAATTTGTCAACGCCGCGTCGCATATTCGTCACTTGTCTTGTTCATTTTCTAAACGAATCACATGCTTCTTCGATACCCCCTGTTTTTAAGAGAGGGGAGTTGTACCCCCTAACATTTCGAGTCTGCGCGCGTGACGTCACAACAAACAAAACAGCACTGCGATGGACGTGAGTGCAGACCCGATGCACGTGCCAACAAGCAGGTTCTAGCGCGCGGGGGTGTCGGTCCTGGCTCGGAACACGCAAAAATAAAGCCGCGTGAGCCTGCCTACCGTCTGCCGGGCGGGCTAGAGGCGCCGATAACGGGAACGGGTCCGGAACCCACGGCGGCGGAGGGGGCCAAGCAAGAGGGGCGTCGGAGAGGGAGGGATCGGGGGAAGGGACGACGACTGCGGCGGCGGACCGCCGCCCGTTGCTGCAGCTGGCATAGCGAGCTGGGACGACTTCCCTCCCTCCGATTCGAAAGTAAGGGGAAGGGACACAAAGAAGGAAGTGTGTACCTGCTTCTCGATTTCTAGACCCCCACGCTCGGAACAGGCAAACGTCTTATAACAACTTCCTAAATGAAAAAAACGTCAATTCGCAACTATTTGTATCAGGACGAAACATCCAAACGTTTATCATCTTATGGAGCAATTACATATATTTTTATTTCGTCGCATTATCACATCTAAATACAAAATTAAAAAAGACTACTAATAGCAGATCAAGTCTTAGTCAAGTATGAAAAATACCCAAACATAACTGGCCTTTTCAATCTCCTGGAATTAGAATTACACTTTTATTCGTAATGGTTTTGTATACATTTCCTTATTCGTTCCAATAAACAAACCTTTAAATAATGTTGTTATTGCCAACTTCCGGAATGAAAATACAGGTGCTGCCAACTTTCGAATTTTGGAAAATACTTTTTGAAATTGACTGTTGCAAACATTTTTAATAGAATAAATTTAAAGAAGCCAAGATAAAAGGCCCATTATAAAAAAAAATCAGAAATCACAGGTGGAAAGAAAAACAAACACCCTAAAATTATTGAAAGATTAGAATGTAGTGAGCATGAAAAATATTCTCATTGGCAAAAACAGTTGCAGTTTCTTCGATTGGAAACATCACATACCAAACAGTATTTCAATTTATGGATATGTTTTCCTGATTTATTTTCTTCATAATATGAAATAGCCACAATACCTTTTAAACGATCAGACTAAACACGTTTATTTCATAAAACTCGTTTAAAAATATGAAAGATGAATAATATTTAGTTCCATAAGGCCATAATTCCAAAAAAAATACACAATGTTACTTTCACCTAAGAATATAATTATAATCACAGATATAATTTATAAATTATTCATGAACATATCTGCAACTTACCTGATATGTACCATCAGTTTTTAAATTACGACGACGCTTATTTAAAGGTTCTTGAGGAATTGTGGGTGTCACATCACTTGATTCTAAAGCACCATTACTAACACTCTTGTCACGTTTTCTTTTAACACCACTACTAGAATCTTCCAAATTACTTGGACTAGGTAAACTTTGTTGTTCAACTGCCTGCAACTTTGGAGGAAGAGAACTTTGTTTGTTGGGAATTATTTTCTTAACAAATATTAATTGCTTTGTCACAAAAGTGGGACTATGCAATTGGACTGCTCGTGGTAGTCTGTTCTGTTGATCTTTCGATGCACCTGATTGTTCTCTGCTGCTTACTTTGTCCGCAACAATCACAGGCAAAGCTACCAAAGTATTGCTCCCGCCAACAACTGGATTTTGTGATTCAGCTGTCGTTTCTGGTTGCACTCTGAAACCACAAACATTACAATCCATTAAACATAATGAATTAACAATGATTCAGAAAAAAATACTCTCTTAGTTTAGTTGTAAAGAATATTTTTTGTTGCTCTTTTACAAAATGTTGGAGATTATTTTTAAGACAATATAAGTGAACGTGTATTTAATGTGATTTAATCTTAAAAATTAAACAAATCTTGACAATTACTTTATGTCACTAAGCATTTTTATACTGTAATTAATCAAAGAACATAATATACAGAAATAGATTAGTGTTTAACGATAATAAATACTTTTTTTTCTACAAAAAATTCATGTAACAAATGTTGGAAAGAAATCACTAAGTTTGTTTTCTTCAAAATTTATTTTGAATACTGAATTTAAATGTATACAAATCTTATAGTAAAAAGGACACCCCCCTCAGACCTTTATTTTTGAACTCACTTAATAAATTACATTTTATTTGCAGGATAGTAAGTCAGAAAGTTTTGGCATCTTACATTTTTGGAGTAGTTAAGAATTACAATTTATAAAATTAGATACAAGATTTGTTATGTAGAAAGTATATTTAATGGCGTTTATATGATATTGATCTTGTTCAACCACTATCAGTAATTTTTAGAACAAGGAAAATGAGCTCCCTGAATTTTTTTCACACAAAAAAATTAAGGTTAATTATTATTTAGTGGCAAATTTATTCAAATTAAAAATCTTTGTACCGTATTTTCAACAAAATGGTCTTTGAGAACTCCATTTATATTTTTGAAAGTTAGCTAAAAAATTTAAATCAAAGAATGCAGGCTAAAAATTAAATGATAAAGTTAAGTGCCGTCTTCATTTCAGGTTAACATGTTGATTCTGCAATTTGACGTCGTTGCGAGCACTTTCCTTATTGCTGTCTTCACAAAGGCTTTCTTTGCGAAAAAATAAAATAAAAGAAATACACAAATTTGATGATTTTATACAACGAATTCAAATCTGTAACAGGTACCGCAATAAAAGACATGCCCGAACTCCAGCGGGTGATTATGGGTAAAAATGTAACGACTGGTCGAAATTTTCAACCAAAAATGACGTAATTGGTAGACGGTTGGCATCATTCAATGCGACTAGGCAAATGAGGAAAAAATTTCCATGGGCAGGTTAATCTAGGGTTCGTATATCTCCCGTAAAATTTGGAGAAAACACGCATTTTTTTCGAGTTTCCTTCCTTCCTCGAAAAGACCCTTATTTTGCTTCATCCTACTTTTTGCTTTAGGCGCCAAGATTTAAAAAGAAAACAACCAATAGTTTTCAACACAAGATAACGTGAAAAAAAAATTGAAAACAAAGCTGGAACTTTTACATGCTCTTCTGTACTCCGCACATCTGGTTTGTCCGAAGACTTCTTAATGTTTTTAATTTAACCACTCCAAACACAGCTCTGAAATAAACATTGATGTTTCATTTATTAATAAAAATGAGGCAACGTTGTAAACAAGTTCTAAATTCAAAATGAAAACCGAGAAAATTGCCTACAAGATTGTTTCCACACGTCTTTTCTTAATAATAGTTTTCTCATTTTTAATATATTCCGGTGTTAGTTGTTAGTGGAATCGATTTTTTAAAATGATCTATTGCTTCAGTTTTTCGGTAACTTGTCTGTTGCATTTTTCCCCGTAGTTTTACAGCAATGTTCTTATAATACACGTTGTACAGAATTAAATTACATTAACGAGTTATTTTCCATTTAAACTGTTTTTGGACAGTTTCGATTCCCTTTTCGCGTCTACTGGCCACAAGGGTAGTTGTTGGAAGTTTACCGTACATTTTACACTCAATCAGAAAAAAAGGACATGACCCTAATCGTCCAGTGTTCTTACAATATAATAAAAACAGAAAAAAGAAATAGTAGAAACGTAAAGTAAAAGAGTATCCTATTAGCTGATGTCCGTCTTTTGTGATTTGCAATATCTTCAAGACAAAAATTAGGTTTCGAATTTTTTGTTTAAATGTATGAACCTAGATAAACATTTGTTTTATTTATTTGTATTAATATTATTATCATGGAAATAAAAAGGGAGGGTACGCATTGCAAGTAACGACCATTTCGACCGATTAAAGACGAAATCGTTTGAAAAATAATATCTGGACGCCGCAACGACGCCACAAAACAGTCCACGCTTATTCTCTGAAGCCTAGCTAGGTAAGCAGCACACGGGCATGAACTACATGCTGCCATATACATCGCGACGGACGCAGACGGCCGGGCGGCGTTGCCGTCCGCCGCCGCCGTCTGACCTTGGTCTGCGCACGAACAGGTCTTCGGCGGCGGCGGCACCAGCAGCCGCCCCACGTCGATCGCCCCGGGGGCGCGGCGGAGAGGGCGCCGGGGATGCGTCCGTCCCGCCGCCACCGCCACGAGCGGGCGAGGACGACGGCTGCGAGGTGGTGGCGACGACCGCTGAACCCCCAAGTCGCCACCGACGACGCAGTTGGGACGCTCTCGCCTTCCCCACGGCGCACCTTGCGCGATAGGTTCACACGCTTACGTAATGTCTTCTATCGAGCTGATAAAATACAGCCGCCTACAAGCTCCCACTCTTTAGCGGCGTATAAATGGTCGAACACGCCAGTTGATTTTCTGCCCCAACGATCTACTTGCAGTTACTCCTCAAATAAAAATATTTTACTTTTGAATACTTTGTTTTATACAATGCTTAATGAGTTAAAATGATTATTAAAATTCTTAGCTCGTTCACAGCTAATATATTTACCATCAACAAAAAAAAAAAAATTCTTCGAAGGATTGTGGCAGTCTCTACAATACATAAAATGGAACGCAAAATCTTTCAAACAAAAAACAGGTTGAAGGAAATCTTATATTGATTTAGCAAATGCAAGAGTAAATAGGAAAACATTTTTAATTAATTTTATGACTAACCCTTATGCTCAGCAAAATAATTTTTCAAAATTGAAAATTGAAAAATGTACATAATTTCACTATAAGTAACTACGAATTCTTCAAGGTTCTTACATAATTTATATTTATTAATTTTAGTTAGAAAACTATTTTAATTTTAAAACTAGGATTACTAACATCATAGGTGAATTTTTGAGGAACACATAATAAAATATTTATACTACAAAAAATTAAACAACTGTCATACGTATTTCAAAATTACACAGCATAAGATTGGTCTATTTCCCATTTCATTGGAATTTAGTGATTATTCAAACAACTTTTAGAGCAGAATTGCAGGTGAAACCAAGAATTACAAGTAACACCGGAATTACAATACGGTGTCAATCCAAGTTCAATTCCTTTAGTTGTAGGCTATAAAACAGACTGATATACAGACGTTTTGCATTAACAAATAACTTGTAGGAATTCTTTCATGACAAATCAATTTTACTTTTAAATAAAGTCTTCAATATGCCATTTTTTCCACTATTTTTTCCCAAGAAAAAGAAAATAATCAACAAATAAATAATCAGGTATTGAAAATGTCAATTCTTCCGTAAAGAAGCATGTAAATTCCCGTAAAGAAAATAATTAATCTCATCAGAATTAATTCTTAACTAATTCTAGAACTTCAGCTATTTTGAAGAAAATACAGGAGTAAATACAAGCAACTATTGGACGTGTAATTAGAATTACAAAAAATACAATGGATAGGAATTCAGATGTTCCATTCACACTTCAAAGTTTTACTGGTTATAAATATATTCTATTATTTCAAAATATAAGAGAATCATAGTAATTTACCAAACATAACCTTTAGAAAAATCTGGCAAATATTTTAAAGTTTTTTTGTTTGTTTTTTTTCCCAAAAACCTACCCTTCATCCTTACGATCATCTAGCTTCGAAGGAAGCATGTCTTGGTCCTGATGGCTCTTTTCACTGCCTGTTGTTTCTTTGGCACATCCTTCAAGAATATTTGGGTCATTTTTAGGACCTGTATCACATGAACTTTCATCTTCAGTAGTTTTTTTTCCAAGCTCGGATTCTTGAGCTTCAGGTTCAGTTTTTTCAGCTGTCTGACGCTCCTCCTCTTTCTTCTGCTCCTCCATATTTGTCAGTATCAAAAGAGAAATACAGCCACTCCACAGACACTGGTAACATGAAGTCACAATATACATATTTAAGTATAAATCATTTCTAAGGCACATCTTAATGTAAATCATAATAAGAGCTGAAAACTCTTTCCTGCTGAATAGACTTATCTGTAGCTGTTCACAATAAACTTCATTAATTTATTCTTTAAAGTAAGTGAAAGAAAAATTTAATATCAGCGCAGTTCATTTGCTCAACATGGTCCATGGTTAAAAATCTAAAAAAAACATTTACTTCTTCGTAATATTGTTTAAAAATGTTTCTATGACTATATAATACATGAAAATACTGTCATAAGTCAGTTAACACACAAAAGCAAATAAATGCAAAAGTCAGTTGTAAAATTTATATCTGAATTAGACATATCTTTGTTTTATCATTACACTCTTCCATGACATTTGTGTTCAGTATTCTGAAGGTCATTGACAGTTCTATCAATACAATTTTCATTACACAGCACATATTCAATAACCTCGATGAACTCAGCCCTTGTTGCAAGACTATAGATGAAGAATGTATACATAATGAATTAGATGAGTATTAGAATATACATAATTTTAAATCAATGAAATCATTCATTGCAAAATCAATAAATATACTTTTAATTAAGATTGTTTTCCTACTTTATTTTCTGTATATCCCTCCTATCTGAAGACAGGAAATGCATCTATAAATATCTATCCCAAAAATAAATGCAAGACTCCTAAGCTGTTCACACTACATTAAATGCAACAATACTCTAATAGCTCACAACTCATAAAAGAAACTTTAAGATAATTCAATAATAAGTGAAGAGTCCAGTAATATTAAAGCATGTTTCATTATTTTTCTTTTTATTTCTCAAAAAATCTAAGAGGATGTAAATAGAATAATAATGTTGAAATTATATAATGAAAGTAATTTGTTAAATAAATATTAATTAAAATTAACTGCAATAATGTCATCACCATTGTTAAAATTATTTTGAACATTTCATTAAAAGAGAATCTGAAATTTTCAGGTGTCCTCTGCATAAATATTACCCTTCTGTAGATTGTCAATTTGACATTCATTGTAGCAATAAGTAATCTTTAAATTTTAACAGTTTTAAATTAAGGCATTGGAGATAAAAAAATATGTATTTTAAAATATTAATAATGTACACAATTATATACATAGTTCACAAAGATACACAGAAACTCATAACATTTTAAGTAAAGAAATGTTGGATACATTTTCTTTTTTAAAATTTTGTATTAAATGAATTTATAATGTATGAATTTATAAGTTCAGATGCTGCTGCAAAATTCAAATCAATTTAATAACTACTTTGAAATAGGAATATTAAAACCTGGTAGTTCATTATCCAATTAAATCTAATTCATAGCCTAATCAAATTTTGACACCTAATCTACACGATCATAAATTTCAAGTTTTGATCCTGAAACAATATATTTGATGAATTGTGTTCAAATTCTTGTAATGGTATCTTGGAATTGATCCTCAGTTCCCTTTAAAAAAAAAAGTTCAATTTTGGAGGGGGGAGGGGGCTCAAGATATTGTTCCGTGAATCACCGTAGATGCCGTCACCGCACCCAGCGGTAATTTAAAATCTGGACAACAAATATGTTAACAACGACTTTATTTAACCAGGCACCGTTCGCGCAGAATTGAGCGGCAATATCGACAAATAAAGGAGCAGAGACGAATATTGCATTCTTTTAAATAAATGAAAAAATATATATAGAAGGATAATAAATGCTGTACATGTCAATAATTGTCCCTTTAAGCTAATAATATTTTTCAAGCGCCACGCAACTGACATGTCATTGGTATAGCTTTTCACGTAATACAGTACAGCCCGCGTTTGCGCATTCATAAACGTGCGAAAAAAAACAATACCCCACCAAACCCCTTTGAGAGGCAACTGGACCAGTCGCCGGATGCGCACTATCTGCGATAATATCCACTAAATACTTACGAAACAACCGCAGAACGGCAAATACACTTAAACAGCTTCACATTGCTCCTACTTGTCCCTCTTCGTATTGCCTCTGCTGCTACTCTGAGAGGCAGCCAAGCAGACGGAGCCTTGCTTTCTTTCGCTTGCGGCGCGAGCACCCGCGAGCAGCACCTCGACCGCTCTTTCCCCTCCTCCCTCTCCCCTCGCGTTGGGTGTAATGCGAAGGGACCCACCAAACCCGCCCGCCCGCCCGCCCGCAGGAGAGACAGTAGCGCAACGCAACGGACTCATTGCGAAGTAGCCGCGCACACGACCGCCTACGCTCGCACTATCTCGCTCACACCTTCGTTCAAGATGGTGGGTATTAGTGTTAGGGGCAGTTTGACAGCTTGAATGTCGCTAATTCAGTGGGGAATCACACTTTTAATTTAAATATTTGAAACTAAACTATCGTTTTTATGTCAGTAAGGCGCCGAGTATGACCAGTTCCTTTTTGTCAGACTTATAAATTCCATTAGCAAAACTGCAGGTAGGAGTTCAGATGTCAATTTAATAGTAAAATGTAAATAGTTCTGATGTCGATTGTTACATGAATTTAATATTGTCTAATTTCTAAAGGGCTTTGAAAATAAAACAAAATATGGGCAGATACTAATTCCAGGACATCTGTTTTATTTTTCCATATTATCAAGTGTTCCAAACTCATAAACTATCCAACGTTAAGAATGTTTGAAGAATTTAAATTCTTATAAACAGAAATGTGTAAGATTCTTTAAATAATAATTTTGGGGTTCATAAATTTAGGAACTCTTTTATAGCTATTGAAGGAAAATAAGGTATTCATCTTCAATAAATTCAGATTTTTTTATTTTCAAAAAATGTAAAGGAATTTATTTTCTTTAAAATGAAATAACTAATTCTGGTATTCATTGACTTTTAAGAAAAAGTGGTGTATTTCAACTTCTCTAAGTGATAATTTGACATCTGAACAAATTGAATGCGTAATGGTAACACGTTTTATACACCACAAGAAAAATGTACTCAGAAAAAATAACTAATTTAAAAAAAAAATGTAGATGAAGGTTCATTTCAACCTTCAATGTAATGCATACTTTCAATTGTTGAGAATTGTATATCTGTAATTGTTGAAATGAAAATATGAAAATATTGATTACCTGCCAAAATTTAAATTAATGCGGCATTGACTCGTGAACGAAGGCAATAATAATCTTTCTTTGCGTAGCAAATTGTTTGATTTACCTTGTGTTGCATATATTATACTTCATTAATTATTGGTTAAACTTCATAATTATGCTGTTAATAGGTCTCAGGGTAGAAGAGTAATTCCATGGCCTACATAAAATGACCTTTAAAACAATATAATTTCAACAATGACTCTTGTGGAATTTCAGTTCATACAGAAAAGAACAGATTGAGAAAAATACAAAATAATGGAGTTCGCTGATATGATACTTATCCCCAAATTGGATGGTGTAGTACTACATGGACCTTTCCAAAAGCCTGTTGATGGCACACTTTGCATCACAGGTCATCATCTGATTTTATCATCTCGCAAAGAAGGTGGAGAGGAATTGTGGGTGAGTTGGAGTACTTAAATAATGCTGTGTGATTAAACAGTGTTATTCTATTAAAATTATGAAAACTTTATAACTTCTTTTTCTAATTTATTCTTAATAATTTATCTTCATTATAAATTTATTTCCGATTGCCTACAAATTCAGTATATTATACAAAGGCAAAAATTTCTTCATTCACATGAAAACTTTCAAGAGGCCAAGTAAAATTCCTAGAGATTTTTAAGATTAAAATTATTCAAGAATTTTTATGCATTTGGAAAATAGGATGTTTTTTTCTTTTATAAAAAATTATTTTGTTCTTTGATTTTTTTATCACATTGATTATTTCCGTGATGTGTTTTGCGTGCATATACTACAGTCGTATACCCATAATTTCGTATATACATACATACATAGTTTTAGGCTTTCAGTTTTAAGATTATTGTCAATGGTTTTGTAATGTCAAATTAAAATGTTTTTAAAACTAGTTTTAGTAATGGAATATAACTTATAATCTTTTGACAGCTTATGCATCATAACGTTGATTCAATTGAGCGTAAACCAAATGGAGCCCTGGGAGGCAGTTTGATTATCAAGTGTAAAGATTTTCGGATTATTCAATTGGATATAAATTCTACTGATGAATTCATGAAAGTTGCCACATCTATTGAGCGCCTTTCTTCACTTGGTATGTAAATTTATATATTTGGGTTCTCTGCAAATTATTATGTTAGCCTTAACCACCAAACAAAACTACTATATGTTGCAACTGGACTATCATCAAGTAACTGTACTGAAATGTAAAGTATATGAAAGTCTACATTGAAATCATTTGCATTATGGCGAAATTTCTGAATTGCAAAGGTGCCATTTCTTTATAATGTTAAAGTATATTTCTGTATGAAAACAGAAATAGGAGGTGATTGACCTTTCAAACCAAATTCAAATCTCAGTACAACCAAGTAATAGTCTTTAAATGATTTTGGAAGTCATGTATTTCTCATCTTTCAGTCATTCGAGTTATCTTCCCTAACGTACGTTTAGTTCCTTTAGGATATTTGTTTTTAATTCTATTTCACTATTTAATGGAATCTTGTGATTTCCAGAAGGAGTTGCAACACCTTGGTGTGCATCTCTTATTCTCTGTTTACATGACCCTATTCTTAATAGTTCCATCAATTATACTGTCATTTATTTTCACTTTGAATTTGGTTTGAGATAAATTGCAAGAGTGTAATATTTTTTAGAGGATTGTGTGTAGGTGTAGAGGAGGCGCTAGTGATCATGTGTATGCATGTGTGTCAATTTCTAATGCAGCAAGTCAAAAAAAAACGTGTAACATATTATAGATGTTTCATCTGTTAGATTTAGTTTAATGATTCAGTGTTTAATGATTAAAAACTTAAGTAATAATGGTCAAATGATAGTCATTTAACCATAAGAGAAAATACAAATATATTTTCTCCCTGGTATTTGGTATTTACAATTTGTACAAACATACAGGAATCATCAATTCTCATTATAAGCAAAAAGAGAATAATCATTATTAAAGGTGAACAGGTTTGTAGAAACAAACAAATTGTGTATGTATGTAATTAGTGTTGATATGCATCTTTAAGAAGTATTAAGTATATTATATTACACAAGATTTCTAAAGAAAACTTTTTAAATTGTTGAAAAAATTTAAATTGTATTAATTAAAGGGAAAACAAAAACAGAAAATAATCCATTAAAAAATGTGAAAGAAGATGAATGAAGATGAGAATGAAAAGTTGGAAATCAAATGAAATAATTGAAGGAAGACACTAGTATATGAATGAATGGGGGAAAAGAAACAGCCTTAAAAGTGTACTTTTAAAAACAGAACAACAAAATTGTAATTACATGAAAGAATTTCAGATCGAAGTAAAATGGAACACCACTCTAAAGAAGAAACTATTTTCTCTAAATAATAATGAGAAAAAGAAATAATAATAATAATAATAATAATAATAATAATAATAATAATAATAATAATAAGAAATGGGAGATATAGGAAAATGAATTAATAAAAATACTAAAAATAAATGGAATTATGTATTAGGGTAATGTGATAATGAATTAAAGAAATGTAAAACAGGATAGTATGTAGTTAAGATGTAGTTAAGAAAATATGTTAATGTTTTTGACTGACAGGAAAGTAAGGAACTTTACTGAAATAGTGATAAAATTAAGTTTCTTATGATTTTTGATAATCATAATAATAATAATTATTATTATAGTAACTGGTCCATACACAGAATAGAAAGATTGACTTCCTTACTTGAACATCCAAAACTTTTAGAAACTGAAAAAAATGTGAATTCAAAATAAAAAACAAACACACAATTGACATGTAAACCAATATTTCATTTCAAATGTAAGGTATTCATCCTGATGAATGAGAATATTCAGTTGTTTGATTTATAGATTGTTGAACACAATTGATTGTTTTAAAACAGAAGAAGAGTGCAATATGTCAAATAATTTCAAAATAATAAAATATTAGTTATTGAATGTATAAAGAAATTTGATAGTCAACAGCTGTTGCATACTTTTGGAGGAAAAAATAACTTTCAATATCATTCCTACCTACAACATCCAAAGTGAAAATATTAAACATTTTTAGGAAAATTGTATAATTTTTTGCATTGCTTTAAAAAATTAGACAGATTATCAGCTAAAATATAAAGATGATTTGTCAAATTGATAGTTTCAAACTTAATCCATTTATGTTCAGATCTATTTTTCTCTACACATTTGTTAAAACATAGATTTTTTATATTTCTTATGTTTATTATACATGTAAAACCAGAAAATGAGGGGCAAAAAGAGGGAAAAGACAAGGCTCCTTAAGAAAATAATTTTGAAATGAATAGTACTATGTTTTACTGAACAGGCCTTTAATTGTTCATGTTAGAACAGTTATACCTCTTAAGAACATTCGTAGCATGACAGAAAAGTGTTTGCTTGAACTATAAATTATAGTTAGCATTTTTGAGAAATGAGGAATTGATCTTAGATGTCATTTACCCTCTGATTATTCATGACCCTCTGCTTATTTTGGAAAGTTATTTGAAGAAGCTTATAGAGATATAGAATAATTTAATCTACAGAATATTAAATTTCTGACTCCCATCTAAACTAATGACATGCTGCCTTTTGAACTACATATGTATTTCTACAGGCAGAAACAAATCTGACACCAATAGTTAGGAAGAATTAAGAAAATGTACTGAACACATACAAATTAAAAACAAAAAGTGTAATATATAAATTGTAATCTATTGTATGATACCAATTTCTCAGAGTATTAAAAACTACTTTTTTTCATTGTTTAACTTATTGCTTTTAATTTAATGATTTTCTCGTCATTGTCTTTTCTTATATCATAGATTCATTTTTTAAAAATTGTATTAATCTTCCAATTGTGAAAGATTGTAAAATCAAAACATGTCGTTGAAATGTTCTTTACTATTCTAAAAGTGATTTTGGAAACACATCTTGACATAATCCTAAGAAAGGCAAGACTAATTACCCCTTTTTCAAGTGTGGCTGAACAAATGTTTACAATGCTGCTTGCAATTTAAGTAAATTAGTCTGTGGTGAACCTTAGAATCCAGATAATGAATCCAAGATATTTCTTCTTCATTGATATTTTGGATCATATTTAATTGTACAATCTATTTTCACAATATCTATAACCCATGCCTCCTTTACATTCTTTGCAACATTTGGCATTACTGCATCAGTAAGCTACTACACTAACAGTTTAACTCAGGGTGTAAAGTCGACATATACTGACTGGCAAAGAGTATGGATAAATATAATTGAAGTCTGATCAGGAATCAATGAACGACTTTAAAAATGATCCTGGATGTAGAAAAATAGATAAGGAAGACTGCCTTTCTGTTGCAAGTGAAGAAAGTGATGTTCATAAACAATCAATAAAATGGTTTTATTGTCCTCTCGCCCTGAGTAATTGGTCATCAATTGTTATTACTAGGGAAAGGACTTTGAGGTGTAAATTATGGTTTTAAAAGGGGGGAAAGTGGTTCTGAAAATATATACAAAAAGGTGCTGCTGAAACAACTGTAGTAAGGTTTAAACCAGTTACACGAACTCAGTTTCTAGAGTATACTAAATCATTATGCACCAAAATTTTCTTCTTTACAGAGTCCATAAGAGGTTATTCATAGTACTTTATCCAACACTGTAGTAGATAGAAAATTGTTAAACATTTGCCAGTACTGATTGAGCTTATTTTTCTCATGGATCGCGTTGTAGAATGTTCTTCACAGGCATGTTAAGAACTTGCTTGTTAAGCACTTGTTGCTGAACTTGCATGTTAAGCACTTGCTTCCGTGGGAACCTTTGTGCTCTTGTAGGCACAGGTAATTTCCTCTGACTCCCCTCTTCTTTCTCCTCCAAATCAGCAAGAGCTGCCAGTGCTCTTTTGGTATTGACAGCGACACGATGGCAAATGTAAACATTTTCTTCAAGTCACAGACAAGTGAATTTCTGGACACCCATTTAAATGTCCTGATTTACTTGTTGGCACAGCACTTTAAACCCAACAGGAAAGGGTTAAACTGTTGCAACAACACTATTGAAATTTTAATTTGACTTATAGCTGTAGATTGAGCATTGTTGCTGGGATATAAATTACTAGTGTTTAAGTATTGGATATTTTAATATTTATTTAATATTGTTAACTTCTAATTAAATGAGATTTTTAAAAGTTGTTCAAGAAGAGAAAAAATACTAATAAATTTTTCTGCCCAATTGTTTCAAAATGCAGAAAAAATTGATAAAAGGTGCTGAAGCATAAAAAAGAGGGAAAACGTGGTGAAATGTAGTAATCTCAGGAAAAAGTATAGCAAAGGTGTTTATTTCACGTAATTTCATCCTCCTAAATACATATATTAAGCTATCAGTCTCAAAACAGATCTATTTTGGAAAAGGTGCTGCACCGTCAAATCCTTTTGGTAGTTATTACAATG